AAAAATCAACCGCATGGTCAAGGAATGCCTCTCGTCTGCAACCAGGAGCCTTCGCATCTGAATTCCCTTGGTGGCTGAAGTTCTTCTAAAGGGAGGCCAGGATGTGTCTCAACCTTGGGACAAGTCCCACGAGGGGGACTTCCCTTTGACACGCGTGGCTCTCCCGTCTCCTCTCCGCACAGCTTCAGCTGCACCTCCGCAGCAAGCTACTAAGTTGGGAAGAAAACACAGCGAGTCCCACCTAGCTTTCACAACGCGCTACGGTTTGGATACATTTTGAGCTCTGAGGGTAGCTGCACAGATGGCTGATCCCCAAATTGGTGCTACTGAAGCTGTGGGCAGTGCCTGTGGCCAGCCGAGCAAGCGGCCGCTGGCGGGAGCTTTGGAAACCTTAGACTTGACGCAGCTGGAATGGCGGACTGATCTTCTACCTTGACCCAGGCACTTGAACCCCACAGGAGGCTGAAACATTTAGCCTTTGGTTGTACAGAAGCAAGGGCTTTGCAAACCCCCGCGTCAAAAGATGCTGTAGGACCTACTTGTCTGCATGAACCCAGAGGTGCCACGCACACGTGGAACCAAAAGGCACGGGCCAAGCTTGCCACTTGGTCTCTAGAAAACCTTGAATTGAAGCAGGTGGCCCTGCGGCTGTGCAAAGCAGCCAGAACGGCAAGCCAAAAAAAGGCCGCCCGCTTGAGCGGTGGACTCTGCCCTGTGAATCTTATGTCACCTGGCGGACAACGACCAAAACTAGACGTGCATGTCGGCGCATTGCGCCACGCCGGGGTCATCGACGATCTCCTCCACGGAGGCGCCGCACAGGCCAACCATGCCGTTGCCGATGGCGTAGTCCCGCGCCTTGCACGAGATCTCCCGCGCGTTGAAGTCGGTGGCCTGGAAGGGGGCGATGTTCTCGGTGCGGTCCCCGAAGAAGTGCACCTTCTGCGGGGGGATGGCAATGCCCTGCTGGCCGTACCACGCGACAATGCCACCCACCGCCTTGCAAGGCGAGCAAAATGAAAGAGCCCCTGAGAAGCAACATATAAAATAAATGACATTCTCACGCAGTGCTATTGGACTGACAAGTGGCATCCTGCTTCCGCCGATTGGCCCACCCGAGCACCAAGGGCGAGTCCACACGGCCCAAGCTCCAAGATGACCTTAACAACACCACGTGGCCCCTATCCCGCGTGCACAATCCCTGCTATAAAAGAGGGAAAAAGAACCTCCTCACAAACAACACTTGGCCAAAGAGACTTGTGCAGTGCCGCCTCTCCTTTCGACAATGGCTGCAAGTTGCCAGCATCCTTTTTGGGGCACCTCGAGCTTTGACAGGACTAGCTTCGCCGGGGCGCTTGCTGCCCAGCCGGTCGAAGGGGCTGCTTCGGAGCACCTTCTGCAGCAGGAAGGCGCGGAGAGGCGAGTGGTCACCGCCCGCATCGCCGGCGGAGACCACTCCCAGCAGGCAGGAGCTGCAGAAGGTCCTGCCAGGCTGTCTCAGGGATATCCCTGTCATGGCAGATGATGGAGAGTCTGAGACCAGTGGAAACTACAGTAAGGCAGGCACTTGGGTCGGAGCGGAAGCCTCAAAGCCAAGAGGGCCTCAGGGTGGAGAGAATAAGTCAGGGAGAGGATAGACAACAAAAAGCTGAGCCAAGATTGGGTGGAGATAATGGCGGGCAGAAAGCGAGGAATGTCACGTTTGGTACCGCTGGGCGCTTCGATTTAGGACCCATAAGCACAAACCTAAACCCTAAAGCCCTCGCCCGCTACCCTGCCACGCAGAGTCACAAGGCTTCAGATAGCTAAAGCTGGCTTTCCCGAAAAGCGCTGCCGGCTGTCCTGTTCAACCCCTGGCCCGCGGAGGACACTGTCAGCCAGCCACCTCCGTAGGCCGTGTCCCAGATCTGCGTCACTTGGTTCTGGGGGCACTGGGACCCGGCACCAGCCAGCTGCTGCTTCCCCGTGAGGGTCCGGTCCACGTCGAAGACGCAAAGGCACACCTGAAGAAGCTAGAAGTTGAGGGGCCTTGAAGAAGGGAAAGTGAGCCCTGGAGAGATTGCGGAGATTTTGGTTCCATTGAGCCGATGGGCTCACACATGATCTAGCAAGAAGTGCTAGATCTCCTGAAAACAATCGCCCGCCAATAGTCTGGGCTCAGCCTCTGCGACCAAAAAACGACATGCACGACCAGAACAAGAAGCCTGAGTCTCTGCAACTGCCGGCAAGCTAGGGGGGGCATGTTCCCAAGTTGCGAACTACCGACTTCGCTCCACGCGCCGACCTCTGGGGCCGGCACCGGTGGCGCCGGCGCTGGTGATGGCGCTGCCGGCGGCGTTGGCGTTGGCGTCGCTGGAGCGTCTCTGCAAAGATGGACCCCTGGCACATCCACGATCTCTTCCTTGGGCTGTCCATGCAACTCAAAGCCACGCGCTGGGACCACTGCGTTTCAGGTCAAAACAACAGCGAGCAACTGACTGCCATGCTGAGTCAGGCGGCA